CAGTGTGACAAAAGGTCTCTGTAAACATCTAAATTAAAGTGTTGGTGTCTGAGATCATACTTGTACAGGCAGAGCAGTCATGAATCAGACTTTGGTACTAGAAGCTGCACAGAGCAAAAAGACAGTCAGTCATCTACAGAGGAAATGTGGGGGTTCAGATTTACCCTAAGTCATACAGTCTCATACTGAGCAGTGTGGAGCATTGTACTCAAGCCTTTTACAGGCCTGTAGCTACTGCTGGAAAACAGGCAGTTTCTGTTCAAGTGTAACTGGGATTCTCTTCCCCTGTACTGATCACTGCTCTTCAGCACCTTCAAACTAGCCTGGATATAGTCTAATTCAGAGCAGAAAATTCAGGTGTAATAACCCAAGGGGAATCTTTGCCAAAAGCGTCTACACATTTCCTTTGGCCCTGTCTCAAGCAGAAAGACATATTGTAGCAGTGCCCCTGTGCAGATGGAAAAATACTAGTTTCTGTCTTTGTCAGCTCTGTGCTGTTATTAGCCAAGATGATCTGTGGCACCTTTGTAATTATCACCATAAAATATACCTCTAAGGTTTCCTTCTGATCTCTTCTAGTGACTGATCTGCATAGAAGAGTAGTCTAGTAGACTGATCTGCAACCTGGTACTGCTCTCAGTTCTGAAGTTGCACAAATGTTAGAAAGCTCAATACTGCTGACAATTCTAGTTTCAAATCCTTCTGACAACTAGAAGGGAATTTAAGGCCTTTGGCTAGACTGTGTTGGTAGGAAATGAATTACATCCATATGAGTTTATGACTTGTAAGTGGTAATGAACATTGTTTTACTACATTATAAATTATTCTTGTATTCACACCTTCTGTAACTATGTCTCACTGATACGCTATTCTAAAGAATTAAAAAGATCCTAAGAACAAGCACACAAGTACTCTAAAGAGCAAAGGCACAAACTCCACTTTCTGTATTTTTCTGAATTGTTCTGAATCTGTAGCTGCAAGGAAAATGGACTAGCTAGTTTCATTAATTACAGCTAATATCATTGCAGGCTACAACGGATTTATATGGCAACTGCACCCTGAGGCACTCAGGAACGTCTGCAGCTGCTCCTGAGGCAGCCGGAGTGTTCGCCTTGGCCCTGGAGGCTAAGTATGCTGTTGAGAAATTCTTTGTGAGCTCTAGAGAGGAGAGAGCCTGCAGTTTGTTTAATGTTGGTCATCATACACAAGTTGGCTGGCTGTGGCACAGGACTGGAACAAGCAGCTAACAAACTGCCTGCTACGGTAGTGATGTGCATGGTAACTTACAGATGAAGTGACAGTCTTGCCAAAGCCATATAGCAGATACAATTTGGCTGGCTCACTCTCTCTACGTCCTGTCCATCCACTGCTTCCAGGGGTTTGTCTTCCCCAGCACTGTTTGGAGGGAGAGATTATTTTATTTCTCCACATATCCAGTGTGGAATTCCCAGCTTACAAAAACATTACAATGAACCTATAGTATCAGACAAGAGTTAATCTTTTGCCACATGCTGTCTGCAATGACAGATGCTTAGGGGAGAGTACAACAAACAGGGATTAAGAGTGATCTTTAACAACAGCTTTGGCAATCAGTGGTTTGGAGAGTGAGCAGTCGTTCTAGCCTGTTTAATAGTCACAGGCAGATTAATCTTCCTTGAATATGTCTAACTCTTTCTTGTCAGTATTTGGCACCTGTATCATTCTGTGGCCACCACATTAATAATAGTTTTTAGCAATGGTGGTGTGGAATGTTTCCTTTGTAATTGCTCTGTTATGTAAAATAATAAATAACCATTGTCTGATTACCATCTCCATGCTATTCATGACACAGGAGACCTCTTGTATATCTTGCTTCATTATCTTACTCTCTAATGATTAGGAAAAGTTTTCCTTGAAATAATCTATACCATCTTTTTACGTTGTGTTAAATTATTTAGATTAGATATTAGATATTAGAAAGAAATCCTTCACTGTGAGGTTGGTGAGACACTGGAACAGGTTGCCCAGAGAAATTGTGAATGCCCCCTCCCTGGAAGTGTTCAAGGCCAGGCTGGATGGGTCTTTGAGCAGCCTGGTCTAGTGAGAAGTGTCCCTGCCCATGGCAGAGGGGTTGGACTTTATTATCTTTAAGGTGCCTTCCAACCCAAACCATTCTATGAGTCTATGTTTCTATGATTTTATGAAGTGAGACATTTGTTCAGGTGTACAGCTTCAGTTGCTGTAACCACGAGCATTATATACATAGTTTTCCTCAACAGTATGCAGAAAAATGAAGATTTGGCAGAGGAGACACAGTTTCTATCAATAGCAGAGCAATGATTGTTATGCTTAGAGCATAACTTTGGTCAAGTCTCATTTTTCAGGTAATTTTTAATATAAATTTATATATTTTTATGTATTTTTTCTATAAAATGTAAAACACATATGCCCAGTGTTTAACTTTGGGTGATTGTTCCTTCTACTATCAGATCTGTTCAATGGACAGCCACCATGTAATAAATTAATATGGACATAAAAATATAAAGGTTTAATGAATTTTCTGACCATTGCATGTTTAACCTGGATTACAACCTAATATCTCTGTAATAATTATCATTCCTCTTGATTTGAGCTCTCCATGAAGACTGGAATTATTCTTGCCAAACTATCATGAGTAGAAATGAGACCAATATCCTTAGTTTGCAATTGAGTTTCTAGCTTTTGCTGAGAACAAGGTAAGGGAGAGGAGGAACTCTCAGTGTCTCCTTCCAGACTGGCTCTTTTAAATTGTACTGTGCAGAATTACCCTGGATGAGTTACACTAGCCATCATGGGAATGGCTAACAATCTCTCAAGCAAGACGTCTGTTAGCTCATGTACAATATGTGTCTGACATGTCTCTAACAGCAGACCAGTCTGTGAAATGGAAAGTATGGTTTTGAGATACATAGCAGCTCTTAAAAGGTTTCAGTAAGAATGATACAAGTTCTATCTGGTTTTCAGCTATCTTGTGTCACCTTGGACAAATGACAGTAATTGGCTGTTCTGGTGTACATTCAACATGCACATAAGCTTATTACTTAGGGCACAGGAAGCTGAAAAGCAGATCCTTTTAGATTGATGGTTTGAATCAGACATATTGTAATGTTGCAAGTGCTCATCATAAAACAACTGGAATAGCTTTAGTTATGTAGAATCGGAATGTCAGTTCTAAAGCTTCCAAAATAATAAGTGCCCTTCCTGTCATCATAATCACTACAAATCTAGGAAGACAACAGCTGACGGTGAAAATTGATCATTGAATCTAGACAAAATGTTGCTTTACTGCGTCCATCCATACTAGTATATCCCAGGTGATAAACCTCTACCATACCTTATAATGCAAACCTACAGCCCATATATCCATATTAACAGAATACTGAATTTACTAACACCTTGATTGTTATAGCTCATCAGCTTCATCAGACTGGAGTTTCTCTGGGTAAATCTTGGAAGATCCATGGGAAAAGCAGGATGAGCAGGCAAGGAAAAGAGGGCAAGAAAAGAGGAAGGCTAGGCAAAATTCCATAATCATCTTTTTCTTTTTGTATTCTTTTCAGGATCTTTATAACATCGTGCTCATTTTGTTAGCTTAAAAATTGCATGGTGGGTCTATAATGTGTAGTTAAAAGCAGTTGCTTTCAGGAACAGGAAAACAATCAGAAATTATTTTCTAATTTTGGAAAATATATTTTGGGGAAATACTATACAATTAAAACATACTGTTGTTCTCACTGTGATTTTTTGTTATTGATATGTGTATAGATACTATTTCTGTGTGATTCATAGAAGGAAATTTTACCAAAAGTCTTACTCAAACACACTTTCTTTAATATCTTCTTGGAAAGACTGTACTGTTTGTTTTCCTTGTTACTTTTCCACAGCTTGGATCTCACATGGAGAGACATGCAGCATCTGACAGTGCTGACCTCCAAGAGGAATCAGCTTCACGATGAGGTTCACCAGTGGCGTAGAAATGGTGTTGGGCTGGAATTCAACCATTTGTTTGGTTATGGTGTCCTAGATGCAGGAGCAATGGTTAAGATGGCGAAAGACTGGAAGACTGTACCCGAGAGATTCCATTGTGTTGGAGGGTCAATACAGGAACCCGAGTAAGTGAATAGTATAGTATATGTGTTTGGCTTCTTCCAAGCATTTAGGAGACCACAAGCATACAAGTAAGTTGACAAAGCTGTAGGTAGTCAAAGATACATAATGAATTTTTTTTATTATGCTGCATTTCCAGTAGCATTCCAGATATTTCAATAAGTTGATAAAATAAACTACTTGATAAAATAAACTACATGATACTTCAATTCTGGTTTGCTGGCGGGGTGCTTTCTACAGCTTCTCTGTATCATCATTTCTAGTGCCAGTAGTGTTAATAGCAACATCCATTCCTCCTGGGTACTTACAGGTATGTTTGTGCCAAAGTTTCTGTGAATAAAAAGCCTGTGCACAAGTGAAAATCTGGGAGGCCGACACTGTAAACTGCTGCGACATGAAATAGCTGTCGGCCAGGTCACATCTCCTTGTGACATATTCCAGCAGACAGTCTTATCTCCAGAAGACTGAAACAATCATCTACAGGTACCAGTGATTCAGTTTGAACACCACAGCATTTGTGTTTGGTTTATGGTCTTCAAATCTCTAATTGCAGACTAGGTAGTCAAATTATTTTCTGATTTACCTTCATGTGCTAAAGTGAATGAGTCAACAAGTAAATGAATTAATACTAATTGACTGCTACAGCTATAGTTCACTTTAATTACTTGAAAAACTAACCTTATAATGGCCTATTTATGTCTATACCATTTGAAATTTGACTTCTCAGTGCCATTTCTGAAGGCATCATTATTCTGTTGGAGAAAGAAAGCAAACCAGTGTGCCACCCTGGCACATAGCTCAGTCAAGCAAATAAAAAGTTTGTTCCTGACCTCCAGATGGGTTTGTATTTGCAGGATCCAAGGTTCAACAGCTGAGATCTGAATTTTTATTTGTCTGGCCTACACATGTTCACAAGTAGGAAACAAATGAGAGAGTGCTGAAGCTAACTTTGAGCTATCTCTAGTTTATTCATAATTTAAATGCAGGCAAATAATCTCATTTATCTTAGTGCCGCCCCATTTATGGAAACAAGGATCATCCTAGAGGGAAGAGAGAGAAAATTGCTTTCTGTAGGATTGGCCTCATGCATTAGTCAGCGTGGCAGAGGTATTCTGTCAACAGACTGAGCCAGGATCACGCAGTTCTATGCAGTAGTATTTTCTCCTTCTGCCTTTGTTTTTCTGTCCCATTTCTGCTGTTGAATGGATAGAAGAGCAGAGGTGATGGTGCATTTCCTCCAGCCCAGGGATCTGAAACTGCAGTAAAGCTTCCCTATACCTGTTGTTGCCCAACAGGCTCCAGAGTTAAGAAATACACTGCCTTGGTGAGAGCAGCACTCAGAACAGGCTTTGTGCTTACATCACATCGATTTGTAACATTCAACGAAGTCAGTCACCACCTAAGCCTCCTAAATACTGCAATGTGGTCTCAGTGTGTGGTCTCTATGGGTGCCCCACTATAATTATCTGACACATCTGTATGTTAATATGACTGCTGTAATATTTACATCCCCCAGTGAAAATGTCACTGACAGGAGATAATAAGCATCATGACTTGGGGGGGAGGGGGTTGGGTATAGGGAGGACTGTCCAGTCTCTTGGGGCACCATCTATACAGTGATCTTTTCCATTTTTATAGGCAGCTAACCACCTCTCATTAGTAGAGTTCCCCTGCTTCCCCGTGGTCCTAGTTTTCCATGCTCTTTACAGGTGTGAGAGGCTAAGTCTTTTCAGTCTTGATTGGCCTCTTCTAGGTGCAGGACTCTTGGCTTGTTATGTAGAAATGCCAAGATTGTACAAAGGCAATTAAAAGTGGCCTGCTTATCTACCAGAGTAGCATCTGGGCTGTGAGGCTTCCCCCTCACCCTAGTTGTCACTTGGATGATTCAGTGCCAGACCACCAGGTGACAAGATGCTTAGTGCTTGTCTTGTTCAGGTCTGGTGGTGCTTATCTGCACAGGATAAGCACAGTGCCCAGCCTCCTCCCATTACTCCGCATCCCACACCCACACGCCTTGTCCTTCACATTAGCACCTTAGGCATATGTTTGAGACATTAACACATTTTCTGGACTCTTGCACCATGCAAAAGTGAATATATATATTTTTATATAGCTGTTGGACAGCACACTGAGAGAATGTGGAAAACCCATCTCCTCTTCTGCTCCTTTTATGTCAGGCTTTTTCTACCACCCCTGCTTCTTTTTGTTTCTTTGGGGAAATTCACCTACAGTAGTTAGTCTAGCGAAGCAGAGTATTGGATCCTAATTACTAGGAAAGGGGGAAACAGAGAAAGCCTTTCCTCACAAGTTTCAGAGAGCTGAGATAACTTTTGCACTGCAGCACTTAAGAAGGTTGAGAGAAAAGCTGTCTGCAGCTGTGAGGCTGTCTGCAGAGCAGACAGAGTGGTAACACTGCTCTTATTTCTTTGGGTTTTGGTGTTGATAGATATGTCTCACACTGTGGTGTCCTCCCTCATTTACTGGAGGAAGTATCAAGCACTTACCACAACTCTCAGAACAAAGTACTGTTTTGAAAAGCTTTGTCCACTGTGTGCAGTTGCTGTCAGACAATGTGAAGTCAGATTGCTTTGAGGATGATGCTACCCATGCAGAGAAATTGCAAGCATGTGGCAACTGTGAGATTACGATCCTTCACCTCTGGCTGGCATGAAGTGTACTTTCCTTGTGCTTTGGCACAAAAATTAAATCTCAAGGGTATTACATGTTCAAATATTTTAGCTATACGATATTTATGTTATACCAGCTTCTGCTCCAGGGCATCTGTAAGATTCAGAGCAACTCAGGTTTTTCAGTTCAAGATAAGTATTTAAATGCCCTGAGAACCTGGACCTGAATGTCTTTTTACTTTGCAAGTACTCCCAGGAAAGCAATACTCTAAAAGGGTAGCAGAGACTGGGCTGAGCCAATTAGTGATGTACTAAGCTGTAATACTTGAAGGTCATCTCAAGAAGAAGAGAATTCTTGGAAGCTAGGCTTGAATGAAACACTTTCACTACTTTCTGAAGAATGCATTATTTCATTAGCCTGGGGAAAAGGCTAATTTCTTATTTGAAAATAAGATATTCCTTACTGCATTGTGGTCAATACCCTTTAAAAGGGACTCTCTTTATTTTATTGCCAAACCTAGATCCTGGAGAAGTCATGGAGAAGAGGAAGAGGTAATGACAAGCTGACTGGAGTCTGTTGTGATTGATTCTCTTTTTAAATGATTGTAGAAATTCTTATCTTTCAGGTGTTTCTTTTAGACAAAGTGGCACACTGCTCACAGCACATTGATTATAAAGATGCAGATAGTTTTATTATATTTTATTATTTTATTAATTTTTACACTAATTTTATTATTTTACAGCTCTGATGTATTTTGCCAGCCAATTTCTGAGGCATCTGGTAACTGCCTGTCGCATCCTGAACCCGAGAGGTTCAGCA